GGATGGTCTCGATCTCCTGACCTCGTGATCCGCCCGTCTCGGCCTCCCAAAGTGCTGGGATTACAGGCTTGAGCCACCGCGCCCGGCCTACAAAAGTATTTTTAAAATTTAGTCGGGTATGGTGGCATTTGCCTGCAGTCCCACCTACTTGGGAGGTTTGAGGCAGGAGGATCACTTGAGCCCAGGTCAAGGCTGCAGTGAGCTATGACTGCATCACTGCACCGCAGCCTGGGGGACAGAGCAAGACCCTCTTTTATTTATGTTTTTTTGAGTCAGTCTCGCACTGTCACCCAGACTGGAGTGCAGTGGCATGATCTTGGCTCACTGCAACCTCTGCCTCCCGGGTTCCAGTGATTCTCCTGCCTCGTCCTCCCAAGTAGTTGGGACTACAGGTACGCACCACCACCCCCAGCTAATTTTTCTATTTTTAGTAGAGACAGGTTTTCATCATGTTGGCCAGGCTGGTCTCAAACTCTGACCTCAAGTGATCCTCCCACCTCGGCCTCCCAGAGTGCTGGGATTACAGACGTGAGCCACCGTGCCCGGTGTGAGACCCTGTCTCTAAAAAAAAAAGGAAAAAGAATGACCTGTGTATGTTAACAGGGAAGATGACGGGCTGCCTTTTCCTCTGAAAGGGGTTGTGCCTGAGTCCACAATGGAGCCAAAGCCACCTTCTGCCTGCACAGAGCGGGGCAGCCACTGTCCACTCTTAGCCTTGCTAAGCTCCTGGAGGATCACACAGGACCCCAAGAAGGTCAAAGCCCTGGACCCTAGAGCCCCCTGAACTGGTAAAATTTGGTCCAGAGAGGCACAGCTCCTATGCCCCAGGGCCACGCAGCATGTGGGGGCCAAGCCTGGCCTCCATCCGCTGCCCAGGGAAGCCCAAGTACTGCCCCCAACCATTCCATCCCCAGTGGCCAACGGCCCCATGCTCCAGGGTCAGGTGAGCCTCTTTCTTTCCCTGCAACCCTGCCCTGCCTTCCTTTCGCTCTGGGTCCATCCCATCCCGCCCCTCCCCCCCGAACAAGCTTCTTCTGCCTTGTGTTTTGGGGAGGCAGAGACCCCATGCTGGGTTTGAAGCTCTGTCGCAGCTTCCTAGAGGACGGTGGCGAGGGGATGGCGCCCCTGTCGGTCTCTGAAGTTCCCTGGTCTGAGAAGCGGCAGCTTTGACTGCAGGGATGTGGGTCTTGCTCAGGAAGCCCCCAGCAGTCCAGGTCTCGGTCCAGGCCACACACTGGTTCTGGAAGCATCTCTGTAGCCCGTTCTCTGCACTCCAGCAACACAGCGGTGGAGGGGGAACAGGAGGAACCCACCCTTCTCTGCCTCCACCTGCGCCAGCCCACTCACCTCTACCTGGTACTAGGCTAAACCCTCGCCACCCCCTTCTCCCCTCCCCGAAGCAGCTGTCAGAGGGCGCCTGGGAGCACCCAAGTCAGGGCCTGTCCCTCCTCTGCCCACAGACCTCCATGGCTCCCACCTGCCTCGAGGTCCAAGCCCAAGTCCTTCCCACGGCCCATGAGGCCCTGCACAACCTGCCCCGTTCCCTTCCCTCCCCACCCTCACTCCCTCTGCTTGAGCCACACGGGCCTTCCTGCTGTTCCTCCAACACGCCAGGCCCCGTCCTGCCCCAGGGCCTTTGCACAGGTGGGCTGTGCCTCCGCTTGGAATCCCCTCCTCCAGGTTTCGCCCCGGCTGCCTCATCGTTCAGGTCGAAGCTCAGACACCGTCCCTTCCAGCCACAGTCCACAGGCTCCTGCCTCCCTCGGGGCCACTTCCTCAGCTGCTGCAGCCTCCCCATGCCGCCACCTCTCCCTGCTTCATCTTCTCACCGGCACATCTCTGCCTGTCCTCCTTCCCCGAGAGCACGGATCTCAGGCCAGGGACACATGGCAGCTCCACCAGTGTTTACTGAGTCCGACAACTGGGCAGGCCAGGAAGGGGCCTGGACACCGGGCAGAACCTGGGAGGGTTCCCAGGGCTTCTGACCGGGAGGGACCAACCCTAGCTCTGCACCTGCTGTGTAGGCTCTCAGTAAACCTCTGAACCTGCAGTTGGGTTGGAAGCCGACTTCACACAGCCCACTGCCCGTGGTCCAGGACTGCAGAGTTCCCTCAGATTCACGTCCAAAAGAATCTCAGCCTTTAGCCTCAACTGGAAATGGGATCTTGGCAGAGGTCATTAGTTAGGGGGGGACATCCTCCTGGAGCAAGGTGGGCCCTGATCCAACGTGAGGGCCCTGATCCAACGTGAGGGAGGTCCTTGGAAGACAGAGACAAGGCAGGGGCTGGAACGACGTGGCCACAAGCCGAGGACGCGGGGAGCCCCGGAAGCTGGGAAAGGCAGGAAGGACTCGCCCTGGGGGCCCTGCCCACATCCTGACTTTGGATTTGGGGCCTCGGAGACGCTGAGGGTGGATTTCTGGTGTTCTGAGCCCCATAGTTGGTGGAGCTTTGTGATGGTGGCCCAGGAAACAGGTCCACCCATCACCCACAAGACCCTGCACACAGACCCTCCCGGGGGAGGCGGGAGGAGGCGAGGCTGCGCGGCCCAGCAACAGCGGGTTTGGCCAGAGCCTCATTCTCCCGCACGGCCCAGCAGCCTTGGGCACAGGCCTGGCCCACGACAGGCTGAAGCCTCACTCCAGGAGAGGGCAAGTCAGTGACGCGCGCTTCACACAGCCCTGCCCCTACTGTCATCCCCTAGAGGAACAAGAACCCCCAACAGTTGTCACAATACAATCCTCGCAGCCCCCAGACCAGACACTGGTGGCGATCATTCAATATGGCTTTATTTTCTCATTGGCCGGCTGCATCCCACACCAGCCTGAGCCCCAGACGGTCAGTCAGTGCATCCATCCTGACGACCTGTCTGGGAAGGAAGGAAGGAAGCTCCCTCTGAAACGCTGGCCCGGCGGCACCCAGACAGAAGCCTGCTGGCTAGCACGCAAGCACTCCCCAGATTCTCTCATGGTGACAAGGTGGCAGCTGCCGGGGTCCCAGGGTCCCAGCACAAGTGCCCAGAGGCCAGCCGGGATGGGCCCTTGGGCAAGTCTCTGGAGGAGGCGGGCAACCCGCAGGGCAGACAGGGGAGAAGAGGGTCCCCTGCTAACCTGGAGGAAAGAGGCGTGGTTATCCCCGCACCCCTCCAGGCTGCAGGTTCAGGAGGGCAGAGGTGCTGGCCGAAGAACTAGTGGCCCAAGTGAGACCCCCTGGTCCTATCTGGACAGAACCCCAGGTTCCCATGGGCCGGCCCAGGTCCCTCAGACAGCAAACGCCTCCCTGGGCCACGGAAGGGAGACGGCTGTGGGTGCCCAGGCCAGGACTCGCCCAGCTCAAGCCCCTTCTTCCCCAAGTCTGCTCGGCACGCACTGCGTGGGTTATATTGCTAAAGAACGGACACGCCGGGGTCTCCCTGAGCTCAATGCGGGCCTCCTTCCCTCCCACACTCACACACGGCGCCTGGCTTGCGGGGTGGAGGGTTCTGTCCATGGCTTCGTGGGGGCCCGGACCTTCCTCTCTGAGTTCCAGGAAGGGTGGCCCCAGAGGCCATGCCCCAAGTGTCTCCTTCCCAACAAATGCTCTCACCTGACGCCCTCATCCTGAACACGTCCTTTCGATAAATGAGGAGGCTGAGACCCAGGGCAGGGAGTGAGGAGAGGAGCCAGCCAGCCGCCCCAGGCCACCTCCTGCCTCCCAGTCCTCCACCTGCACCCAGTTCCCCAGGGAGGACCGGCCAGCCGTGGCAAAGCCTGGCGGGCCTGGGGGCCCAGCACCGAGCCCAGGAAACACCAGGCACTGGCTCAGGACTCAGGGCAGGGAGCTGGGCCGGGGTCAAGCAGGTGAGGCCCCTGGGAGCCGGGCTGGGGCCGAAGAGGCACAGGGGCCGGCGGGACAGGCTGGGAGGAGAGGAGCGCGGGGGAATGGGGGTGTGCAGTGTGTCAGGGGTCGGGGAGGCAGGGGCCCTGCCAGCCCCCCACGAAGCAGAGGCTGTCAACGATGGCGTCAGACCCTGCAGTCGGAAAGGGGAAGGCTGAGTGGTACGGCTCCCCGACAGCCCACTGTGGAGGGGACGGGTCACTGAGACCACATGGGGGACAAAATGCTCCAGTGGGGTTGGAATCCTGGAACCCCAGGGCTGGCACTGCTCTCCTCCGGGCAAGAGGGAGAAGAGATAAATAACCATGTCCACGCCACCATCGGGGAGCGGGAGGGGACGTCCAAGGACAGACGCGGACC